ATAATGGGATAAATTGAAAGCGTGTGCCACCCATAAGGTGTGTGGAGAAGGCAGCATCACTCTGTAATACTGCCTAAATCTAATAATGAAGAAATACCAGACAGCTCCAAATTGAAGGCCATTCTACAAAATAACTGGCCTATAATAGTCAAAGTCGTCAAAGTCCTAAAAGTCAAGGAAAGGCTTGGGAGTGTTGCAGACCAAAGACCTGGGGCAATTAAATGCAATCGGGATTATGAACAGAATCCTTTTGCTACGAAAGACAATAATAGGACAGTTAGCTAAGAGCGAATGGTACATAAGGGTTCCGTGGTAGTAGTCTGTCCATCTTAATTTTCTGATTTTTCATGATTGTACTGGATTAATGTAGGAGAACATTGTTGTTTTTAAGAAATTCACATTGAAGTATTTGGCTGTGATGGGGCATTACGTTGGCCGGTTACTCTTGAGGGGCTCAATAAAAAATGTTCTTTGTAAACTCAACTTTTCTGTAAGTATGTAACTGTTTCAAGCTTTTACAATTTTTTAAATTAAAATAGCACATTCATAATAGACAGAAAAATTGGGGAGTGTGATTTAACTCTATTTTATGATAACAGAGAAGAACAGAGCGCTACTTACCAAGACGATATCTTGCATTTCCACAGTTCTTTTCAACATGCAGAAGAACATTTTTACCTGTAGTATCTTACTTAACTCCTGTGATAACCTTGTACAGTTAGGACTATAGTCTTCATTTTACAGATGGGAAAATCAAGCTCAGATACAGTATGTTATCATGAGGAGAGTGGAAATGCTGGGCTTCACACCCAGGTCTCTCTGACTCCGTCCTTGTTTTTTATTCTCTCAGCGTCTAAGGACGGACCCACTACTGTGTATCCACTGCCACCACAGCAAACCAAACCCAGTCTCTTCTTTCATGGAACTCACAGGCTGCTTTGGGTCTGCAAACAATCTGGAGCCAAGCTTACTAAGCATAAAATCCCAGCTCCCAGCCTCTATTCCTTAGCTGATTTAAAAACCTAACCCAGCATTTCTGACAAAGGGCATTTTTGGCATTCTTTCATAACAATCTCCTTTTATTTGCAACATCCTGCAGCTTGGCGTGCTCTGCGGACTTTAGGTATACACAGAGCCAGTGAAGGGCAGAAGCCCAAGTGGGGCACAATGAGGGCTGCGCGGGGATGGGGAAGGCACAATGGGTCTCTAGAAAATCCAATTTACTCCCACTTTTCACTTTTGGAAAATGCCTTATTGACCGCAAAACAAACTCTACCCTGTACTCAACTCCCCAAACAAAGTGCTCACCAGTTACCGAGGATTTAATAGACGTTCTTGGAAAAACCTAGCAAATACTAGCAGATAACAGTGATTATATATATACTTCCTGTACAGTATTTAATAAAGGGTTTTCCACATGTGTCATCTAGTACCTCGCAGGAACTCTTGCAGGAGGCATTATTCAGCTCCCCAGTTCAGAGGTGCAGATGAGTTGCCCAGTAGGTGGAAGATTAGAATTTGAACCCAGGACTTCTGGAATCACATCCTTGCTCATTTATCTACCTAAATTGCCTCCCTCCTCCCGCTAAGAAAACACAGGAGGTAACGAACTCAGTTAAAAACCAGAAGGTCAGTTTAGCAATTGTAGGTAAGTGAGTGGTCTCACTGGAAACTTTTTCTGTTTCCCCTTAGAGCTTTTAAGCGAAGTGTAAATTGACTATGTGCTTAGGAATTTACCAGCTCAGACAGACTGAAACAATTAGACAGGAGGCCAAGTCAGAGTGAGAGAGGGAGACAGACCCCAGGCACGTGAGCCGACATTCCTTTCAAAAAGCTTCACTCCATATCCTTTTTCAATTGGCCGAAGCCCTAGAGGTTTGACTGGCTACACCACTTCCTCTCAGAAGTGTCCGTCCCCCGCCTCCCAAGGGAGCCTGGGATTTGTAGTCCTGGAATCGGCCGACCTTTCATAATCCTTTAGCAGGACTCCCTGGCTGAAGGGGTACAGTGTCAATTTCAGTAGCTTTCTATATGATGAAGTATCCAGTGTGCTTTTTGCAAAAGCCAAAGCTTGTCCTGGGTAAGAGTTGAAGTCTCTGTTTATTCACCAGAACCCAGTCCCCTGGTCCCCCTCATTCTAGTTATTACCTCCTTTCTCTCCCCCACTGATACTGACCACCATTTCACTGCCTTCTCCTGAGGGCATGCTGGACACAAGCCCAGCAATGCAGCTGATGGTGGGGAAACCTCCAGGAGGCAGATTCCCCAGCTAATTGTGGGATCAGGGCTGGCCAGCAGAAGAGCCATGCCCAAGGGTTTCTCCCCAGAGTGGCACCTTCTCAATAGTTTTTCTTTTCTTTTTAAAATTTATTTATTGGAGAGAGAGAGAGAGAGAGAGATCATGAGCAGGGGGGAGGGGTAGAGGGAGAAGCAGACTCCCCGCTGAGCAGGGAGCCCGATGCGGGACTCGATCCCAGGACTCCAGGATCATGACCTGAGCCCAAGGCAGACGCTTAACCGTCTAAGCCACCCAGTGCCCCTACAATAGGTTTCCAGGTACATATTTACATGATGGTTGTTGATTCAATAGGTATTTGAGGAAGTAGAATGTGAAACTAGACCTACAGAAAACACTGCATTTTGTTTTGTTTTTCTTTGCTTTCTAAGCCCTCGCCAACCATTGCCTTGTCCTGGCAACACCTAGGCTTAGGAGAGACAGATCGTCCTTTCCGCCCTGGTGTTCTGGAACCTCCTGATCTCATCTGCTCTAAACTAGTCATACCCCATCTGAGGGCCCACACGTTAGCATTATGCATAGACTAAATACACGCATTTGACTGCAGGCAGATATTACTGGTTAAATTTTAAAAATGGTCATTTCTTAATTAAATTTCTGGTGGTCATTGACCACTAGAAATGTTGTAAAACAATAGATACTGAATATATAGTTTCCTTTGTGTGGGAGGCAACAATACTTTTTGACACTAAAACGAAACAAAACAAACAAAAAACAAAACAAAAACAACAAAAAGAACGACCTCCTATTCGAAAGAGCTGTTGACTAGCATGCTAAAGCTTGGGAAAGAATAATTTCCATGAGAACTGCTCCCGGGTTTACCAGGCTCCTCTCTGCTTGGCTTATGCTGTGCGTTAGACTTCATGGCACAGGTACAGATGGTTGAGCAGGGAAAATACTGAACGAGCCTCCAGGATGGTGAAGAACCTGTTTGTCCTCTGTCACTAGTCAGCTGGATGCCCTTGAGTAAGCTAGTAAACCCTAAATCTGGGCATTACAGGACCCTGAGTGCCAACCTTCATTCTGCACAGATGCTTAGAAGGAGAAAACGCTGTCCTGGCCCTGTCATTGAGACACCGACTTCCCAAATGTGGAAGAATTGTTGGGAGCAAATTCAAGGGGCAAGGTTTGGTCAGAGTTCTAAGACTTTGGTGGAAGTGATGGACCCAGGCCAGTGTTTGACTAGGGCATATAAAGAAAACCTCTTAAAAAGATGCACTCCCATTCTTCCCAGAGCCGCAAGAAATATGCGCCTCTATCTTCCCTAATGATTACTTTGCAAATTTCTAAACTGATGGAAAATTGCTTGGCTGGTGTGGAGATTTGCAGAAGAATCCAGCTAGACTATTCTTGAACATACCTGGCCTTTATCATTTCTCTTTCTATGCTTGGGCCACGAACACCAAGTTTTTATTTTCTCCTTTCTTAGAAGTCACTAGAAAACCCATACGGATGTATATATACATACTCATTCCTCTAAAGACTACCTTTCTTGTTGAGTGTTGACAGCGAGAGATATGCAATACAAAGAACATAGGAGGGAAACATTAGAATTTCAGTTTCAATTTATTTTTATATTGCTCTTGAAAATTTTGTTTTGTGTTTGTTTCATAATATAAATAGTAATAATATAACAGTTGGTGTATGTGATTTATAAATCAATGTTCAAATATTGAGAATATTTGCTTAACACATTTTTTTTAATGGTAGGGTGCAATTAAAAAAATGGAGACCAATGTTCTGGAACACACCTCATTTCATTTAGGTAGACATGTTGTCTAGAACATACTCAGTGCTACCCAGGGAAGATGTCGTGAGTCTCATTTCTTACACCATCAAGGACTTTCCAAGCCTCACTCGTTTTCATTATAAAATAAAGGAAATGAAAACCAGCTACCTAATTTGAAGCAAGTTTCCTCTTTGGAGAGAAAAAAGAACCTAACACTCTCCATGGGCCATAAGATCCTGACATGGGACCAGAGGAAGTCAGGCCATCTTATTCTCTGCTGGAATGTTGGGAAGATGGCCACTTGGGTTTGCGGTGCACAGTGGATACAACAGAGTGAAGTCTAATGGACAAGGGATCCATCCTGGATGGAACCGTTTGCTTCGTTCTGGTTCTTGGACACAGATTATCCATGGCCCTGGCTGTCATCCTATAAAACCCTTTTAGGCTGGAGGAAGATTTAAATAACATTTTTAAAAATCTCTGCAAATGTCTCTGCAGTGTGAAGGTTGATTTAAGTATCAACTTGCCTGGGCCACTGGGTGCCCGGGTTAAATATTATTTCTGAGTTTGTATGTGCAAGTGTTTCCAGATGAGAGTAACATTTGAATCTGTGGACTCAGCCAAATAAATTGCTTTACCCAAAGCCCAAGGACATCAACCAATCCATGGAGGGTCTGGATAGAACAAAATGCACAGGAAGAAGGAATTCACTTCTTTGCTTCCTGCCTGCCTGCTTGAGGTGGGACATTTTCCCTCCCCTCCGCCTAGGATTTCTACCATGAGCTTCCCTGGTTCTTAGGCCTTCAGGCTCACACTAGAACACATCACTGGCTTTCCTGTGTCTCCAGCTTGCAGACAGCAGATTGTGGGACTTCTTGGCCTCCATGATTTTGTAAGCTAGGTCCTCACAGTTAATCCCCATCAATACTGTACATCTTATCGGTTCTGTTTCTCTGGAGAACACTGACTAATACAAACAACAATAAAAACCACACTGATTTTGTGCTTTCTGCTTTCCAGCAGCACATACACATGAAAAAGTCTTTACGGTGCAAGAGTTTCAATCGGGAGCTTCCCCTGGGAAAACCCTTTGGCCTAATGAGGGGTAAATAAGAAGACGATGTCCTCAGTTCTGAGAGAAGAAGGCACAATTTATTTAGTCAAATTATTTTACAACATAGTCTTCATTGACAATTGTCAGCTTAACACTTAATATAGTTTTAAAAAAGTCAATGATTACCTGAAAAATTATATATATTTTAATATCTAAAAAATATATTGCATATATAGGGCAGGAAAATCCCTCGTATCCACAAGGGAAAGTTTGCTTGTTCTTTTCAAAGTTGTGATTATTGCATTATGGTTATTTACAAACATTTCCAAAGCATTAAAGATTTGAATGGATTGCCTTTACCTGCTTGTGCACGCTCGTTAAATACTGCACGGTGCTTCTCTTTCTAGTAAAGTCAGTGACTCAAACGTCCTGTTTTCTTTTTAGCAATAGTCACATTATGCTTTTTAAAAACCAGCTATAAAAACGTACAAACAGCCCAAATGTACAGATTGACAAAAGATGTACAAATTACATTTAAAAAAATAACGACTGATTTGATAGTAAAATTGTCTTTGTGACCGAGGTCAACTCGTTTATTTATTCTTTTTACTTTTTTAATTATCTATTTTTAATACTGTGAGATATAGGAAAATAACTCTGCATAATTTATACAGTAAGTTGCCTTCTGATTGGTTGACCCTGGACTGGTGGTCTAACAAACGCACAGCGCTTGCGAATCTGTTTGTGTTCAGAAATCCCTAAGACTTTTCAAAGTTCTGGGACCCACTGTCATTACTTAAAAAAAAAAAAATTATTTAATTCTCTGTCTTTCAGTAATGTCTGCATTTGCATTAACATTTCTTAAGTTCATATCTTGACTATTTCTAGAGAGGATGGTCAGCCTAGTGCATACTGCCCACTGGGAGGGATTTTGCAATGCCCACGGCTTCTTAAATACACACACATGTTCTTTCTTTTAAATTCCAGTTGGGTGAAAACTTCACTGGCCTTACAACCAATGTTCCAGTTGCCATCCACTGAATCAGGTTCTCCTAAAATAAGGTTATATAAGCTTTCCTGCCTCTATTTTCACTCAGTCTCAAACCAGAGCATTAACTGGTTAAGTCCATGATTCTTTATCATACTGAACCCTACAAGGTCCATGATGAGACCCGTGTGTTGATAAGAAACTGCTTTGGTCATAAAAATATAAAGAAAATTTACAGTTTCTTTCCTAGAACCATGATACAACCATTCCAGTAATCTAAATATTCAACTCAGAAGATGATAGCAGATTGAGAATCCAAACTGGTGTACTGGCCCAGAAAATCATCCATCTCTTTGTTCAAGGTAGAGGAAGCAGAAGTTACCAACATTTAAAAAAAAAAAAGGATTGTTTTTAAAGAACAAAGGTTCTATCCAACAAGAAAGAACATCCAGTTTTGTTTTCTCTTCAAGGCCACGTATGTCCTTTGGAGTCCAAAGTATCCCAGGAAGTGTGAGGAATGGAGGGCTTCAGGTAGAAGGCCACCGATGATTAAGCTTCTAGTAGTAGCTGCCTAAGTGTGAGGGCACGTGGGTGTTGGGATGGCGGGGGACATTGGGGTTGGGGTAAATCCCACCCGTGGGGGAGGTCCAGTATTGTGACGCTGCTCCAAAGAAGCTAGAGGAAGTAACAGGCATGGAGGTCGGGTGGGGAGGGACAAAGTTCACCTTTTGTTGATGGGCGTGGTAGGAGGGCATGTAGGAGATATCAGAAGGGTACTTGTACATGGACGACTCGGTGGGATGTGGCTGCAGAGCCTGCGCGATGCCGTGGAAGTCAAATTTGTAGGCATACCTCTTGCCATGCACTTTGGTCATAATGTTTTTATCATAGTAGTATCTGAGGGCCCGGCTCAGCTTGTCGTAATTCATGTTGGGCTTGCTTTTCCGCTCCCCCCAGCGCCGGGCCACCTCGTCGGGGTCCGTCATTTTGAACTCCCCGTTGGTCCCCTCCCAGGTGATACAGCTTGCATTGGCACTGTCGGACAGGAGCTCGAGGAGGAACTGCCACAGCTGGATCTGCCCGCTTCCTGCAGGTGGTGAGAGGCAACGGGAGAAAACAGAGCAGCTTAGCCCGCGAAAGTCAGGATCCAATTCCCTAAAACGCCAGGATCCTCTCGCCCTTTGTCAGAAACCCATCATTTCCTTCCACATTCAGGATCTCCTGCCTCTGGCAGCCCCTTGGCTGTATGATTTGGGGCAAGCCACTTCCCATCCCTTTTGGCAAGAGTTTTGAATCTTTTCTTCTAGAAAGACCTGAATCACTGTCTAGTCTCTACCCACGGGGAATCGGGGCCAGGAGACCACAGCGAGGGTCACAGGGAGAAGGTGTGGCCCTGGTGTCAGGCTGAAGGGACGTGGAATGTTCCTTAGCAGAGCCCAAGTGCTTGGCTCTCAGCTCTAAGTCCGACAGAGAAGAACTTGGGCGGAGAGAAAAATAAGAGGAGAGGGAGCTGCGTGGCTTCTCCCTGCCCCCTCCCCTGACCCCAAGACCCCAAAACAGGAATGGCCAGGCACTAAAGAATGGGCCTGCAGACATTGGCAACAGGGGTTCCCTGGGATGCGAAGGTGTGGACTTTACTACCGCAAAGGGCCAGTTAGCTCACACACTTGGTGGTCTTGGTCTAGAACTCATTTGAGAGCTATTTTTAATAATGAACCCATAAATGACATTGTCAGATTTATTTTAACTTTTCAGGGACACACCTCTTTCATAAGGCCAGAAAACTGCAACACTTTCTAAAGTTCAAGAATAAAACGCCTTGGGAACATCTATTCACTTGTGACTTCCATGAGGGCCATAACTGAGAACTCACTGGAATTGCTCCCCTGGCCCCTACTTCTTTCCCTACAAAAATTTCTACCTGTGCCATTTATTACTAATCCAAGCTTCCATGCAGATAGGCAGTGCTAATATGTTTGTTTTCCAGAAGAAGCCTCAGCTAATGGACATAACTACCACCTAATAACAAGCTCCAACCTCTCACTTGTATGCTAGAGAAGCAGATGTTGACCATTTCAAGGGAAAGAGTACATGTTACTTCCTAGTCAGGTGTCTGAACTTAGGACAGAGGTCTCTGTGACCTCACAGAGCTACGGAACATTCTGGAAAGAAAAACCTTGCAGGCCAAAGTAAACTTACCAGGGTTGGCTAGGCGACTGCTGGTCGGGCCCAGGATCTGATATGGATCTAAGGAAGCAAAAAAGGAAATTAGCTTCACTGTTATTAAAAATATAAAAACAACAGCATTAATAATAAGAATACCCCTGGGGTTTATACTTTTATTTCAATATCATAAAAAAAAAAAACCCTGATTTCAGAAAACTTTACTGCTTTTATGTGCAGACCTCAAAGATCTGGAGCAGTTACGGTTTTCATCCCTATAATTACAGAAACATAGGATACTAGCAGCCTCATTTTTTTTTCATATTCGGTGTCCAAAATTTGTAGATAATGCTGTCATTGCCTAAAAGAGAATCATGAAAGAAGCTGGCTAATATTCAATCATCATGACTAAGGTGAAGGATGCCTTATTAAAACGAGTTAAAGAAAGGTCTAGTGATTCCTGGTCTTTGCAACTCTGTATACATCTCTGGTTTTGTGATGTAGCATTAGTGCCTGGAAATCAGGCAGCCTGGGCTGTAGCCCCAGTTACATTACAAACTAAATAACTCACTGGACAATCTCTGCTCCCTTCTAGCACCAAATTCCAGCACCTTCAGCTTCAAAATGACAGCCAGAATTTGTATTTTAGCTACAAAATGACTGTTCTTTATATCTCAGTCTCCATAAAACTTACATGATTATTTAATTATAAAAAGAATCTTTGCAGTATTAATTACATGAGGTTGGTCTTCTTTTTTTTCAGGTCGGGAAATCATGGTACATACTCCGCCAGGTTGTCAAATGTTTGATACAATTTTACTATTTTTGAACTTGTCGTTGCAATTTTTAAAAAATCAGCATGATTTGGGGGTTTCTGCTTGCAACCATGAATTAACCTGAAAAGTCCTCAAGGCTGCTTCGTCTACCCTTTTGCATCCACATACCCACACAGTATGACAACTGAAACATTTTTAGCAGGTAATGTCTAATTTTGTTGTTGTTGGGAATTCTTTAAATTGGCTATGTCAAACCCTGTTTGGCTTATGTGTTTCATTCAGCACATCCTTTCTCAACCTTCCCAATGACATGTAGGTCAATTCTCTATTGTTCTGCCTTCGATAGAGATGGAACACAATGTTTATCTGTCTTAAAGCAAGTGGCTTGTCCAGAACTTAATCTCAGCTGTGTCACATAGAGAAAACAGAGCTGGGCTTGGGAGTGGACATGACAGCCGTCTTCAGATACAGGACCTTCCTACAGAATGGGAGGAAGGTTTTCCAGAGGGCAAACCAGAAAGCTGGACAGCAGTTACAATGAGGGGGACTTTGGCTGCAAGAGTGGAAATGAGCTTTTAGCGAGGTAGTGGACTCCTGGTAGCTATAAATATTCAAGTAGAGGTGAGATAATCATAAGATAGGTGTCATAGAAGGATGTTTTAGACCTAGTTTCACTCTAATACCAAGAGTCTCCAATCCATGGTTTGAGAAGTTCACCTGCCTAATTTGTTAAGCAGACCCATCACGGGATGAGGGTAGTTTTAGGAGAAAGGTTTTGTGAAGCCTAAAAGGTTTGGACCAGCACCTCTGGAGTCTGAGGATTAGAGCTCTAGTTCTCTCATAAACCAGCTGCATGACTTTTGACAAATCACTTGCCCTCTCTGGGCCTCAGTTTCTTTATTTTACAAAATGAGGCGTTGGAACCTTTAATCTTTACATTCATTTTACCTCCGATATTTAACGAATCTTTGCCTGGTTCTAGTGCCTGCTACTTTTAATTCACAGAGCTCTTACAGGGAGTCAAAATAGGGAGCCTCTGTGAAAGAGAAAAATGAGGACAAATACTGTGTATTGACTCAGTTCTCCTCAGTTGACCAAATGGAATAAAGAGCAAAGGAGGGATGAGCCATCCCAGACAGGTACCTGGTTGGGGCCTTTGTTCAGTATTCTTACTCATTGCTTGTGCTCCTGCAAGTGGGGGACCTGTGGTGGGGAAAGAGATAAGGTGAGTTGGGCACTCTCCATGAGGGAAGAGAAATGTCTCGTTCAAAGCCCTCCACAAGGTGCTCCCTCATTCATTCGTTCATTCACCTACTCTCCACTCACTCACTCATTCATTTTGTTTTATAAATATTTATCTAGAGGGGCGCCAGGGTGGCTCAGTCAGTTGAGCATCAGACTCTGGGTTTCAGCTCAGGTCAATGATCTCAGGGTCGTGAGGTCGAGCCCCGGGGTCAGGCTCCATGCTCAGTGGGGAGTCTGCTTGAAAGATTCTCTCTCCTTCTGCCCCTCCCCTTCGTCTCTCTCTAAAATAAATGAATAAATCTTATAAATATTTGTCTAGCATCTTCTAGTCCTGGCAGTATTCTTGGTGCTGGAGATTTAACAATGAACCAGCAGTTCCAGTAGAACTTACATTTTCACGGGGAGACAATGAGAACAACAAACATACAGCACAGCATGCCTAATGGTATTGCTGCTGTGAATTGCATTTTTAAGTAGGAAATTTCAAGGTTCTTAACGGGATGGTGACACGTGAGTGAATGTCACCTGCTTGTGCGTTTCCATGCTTTGTGAGTTCCCCTCGTGGAACCTCTCACATACAGCCTTTCGGGTCCCATCATAGCTTCTCCATCCTAGACCTTCGTGGCTTCTCACACAGTTTATGGCTTAGTCTGACTGTATCCTCACCACTCCCCTCTCTTCCCACTCGTCCATCATATGATATTTAGTCGGTTTCATTTCCCTAAACCATTTCCCTCCACCATCCAAACACCTTTGTGAGTCCTCACTGACTAAAGAATGAAGGTCTACCTTCACAGCAGCCTTTGTGCCCCTTCCTTGCCCTTCCAGACTGTTTTCCCTCTGTGCAGCCGAGTCCTCCCTAACCGTCAGACATGTCAACCCTGACATCTCTCCCTGGTCCCCACCTCTCCCGGGAGGCTCTGTCTTCCCCATCTCTGCAGGGCCAAATCCTGCCTCTCCTTCAGGAGTCAACTCAAATGGTGCCAGGTCCACAGGTCTTCCTTGATACCACCCAGATGAAAAGAGCTGTGTGTGTGTAACCCCTCTCCCCAGCTTGACAGACTGGCCGGTGTCTGATTCATCTTTGTGAACCTGAGAGTGCCAAGTCCTGGGCACGGAGTAAACAAATAATGAATACACAGTACTGAAAGGGATCCTAGTAATTGCTTGGGTATCAATTTGTAATCCCCGCCTTCTTGAAAGAAGGCCCTTCACCACCCATGTGCTTGACCCTTTGCTTCCTACAGATAGCAAGGTTCACACATCCTGGTTAGGAGTTTATAGTCATTCTCTTTCCCCACTCCCTGAAAGGGAGATTTTGGGTCGGACTTGAACACAAATTGATGTGTCAGACCCCCACCATTGCCTGCGAAGACCATCTTCCATCCCAGCCCTTCATGAAACCAGGTCAGGGAGGTTGGTATTTATGAGTAAGCTTCAACACTCAGAGGAGGAAAGTCATGAAGGACCATTATCATGACAGAAATGGCTAGATCCAAATCCAGCGACCTTCCATTCATACAGAAAACCCAGTCCTGAGAAGTCTTCTACCTTCAAAAATGCGAAAACCAAATGCAATGCAACAAAACCGAAAGGTCTGAATGAAAATCTCACACCATCTTTCAGGGAACAGTTATCACTGATAGGCCCTACCCTGGCAGTTAATTTTGATGTCCTCCCTACAGGCAAGACAACAGATGCTCACTCCTGCCCTGTTCTAGTTCATGACCCTGTTCTCCACCCGTGTTTGTAGAAAAAAATGTTTTCCTCCAAATAATAGCGTGACATTTACTTACTTTTGTTGAGGCCAGAATTCATGTTATTGCCCCATCCTCCTCTCCTGACTGAGTCATAAGAAGGGTCTAATGAAAAATAACAAGTAGAGGTACATCAGCATCTCCAGCTTTTCAGACAGGTGCCATGAGGATTCTCTTTTAGTGATCAGGAGAAATTTGATTTAATCAGCCATGACGTCTTAAGCATGACTAAGCTCCAGAAGAGTACTCTCCTCCTGGGGTACGGGTGGGAAGGAACATTAACACTCATTGGAAGCTGGAGTGAATGGAAAGAATCCTGAATCTGAAGTCAGAGGATTGGTTCAAGTTCTGCCCCTCACCCCTATTTGTTGTGGGACCTTGGATGAATCATAAGACTTCCCCGAGCTTCAATATTCTTGACTCTGGACATGAACATTTACACCATTTATCTACCTTATGGAGTTGTAGTAATGCTGTGAGCTGACTGTTTGTATGTCCTCCCCCCTCCCACCCCCAAATTCACATGATATCAACACGTGATGTGTTGCTATGTGATGTGATGGTGTTAGGAGGTGCAGGCTTTGGGAGATAGTTAGGTTATGGGGGTGGAGCTCGCATGAAGGGGATCAGTGGCCTTATCAGAAGAGGCCCTAGAGCTAGCTTGCCCTCTTCCCTGCCATGTGAGGGTACAGCAAGAAGTCAGCAGTCTCTGATCCAGAAGAGAGCTCCCCACCAGAACCCCACCACACTGGCACACTGATCTCGGACTCCCGGCCTGGAGGCGATGTGCTAAATATCTCTTGTTTCTAAGCCACTCAGTTATAGCCACTTGTTATAGTGGCCTGACTAAGACAGCCAGTACTCAAACGAGGTAACATATGTGAGGCAACTTATAAAGTTTTCTACAAATATAAACGAATAAAGTTTAGAAAGAAAAAAAAAATTCTGTAGTTGTGTAGCAAAGTCCTTTAAGCAGCTCTGAAAAGATGAGCTAGGTCCAGATTAAAGACTCCCTGGGAAGAAGGTCTCAAAGACCAGGCTTGTGATGTTCCTGGCGGCCGACTCTGGCCCCGTGCTTCAGCACACTGATATTTCAGACGCACGAGCACATTCTAGGCCTTCCGTCCTCTTCCAGGGAGAGTGGAAGGGCTGGGCGTGACCACCACAGAGAAAGAAAGGAGGCCAGAGTGTGGCTGGAAAGGGGGCAGGAGCAAGAAGCAAGGGCACGGAGGAGCGAGGCTTCCTGCCTGGAGATGCCTACTGGCTTGCTCTCAGGGTGCCTTGGAGAACCTTCCACTGAACCTGCCCCTTTGTGATCACAACCTCTTTCTTGAAAGATTCCACGTGCCTCCACAACCGTGTTCAGGAACCGCATAACTAACTGGCTGGAAACTTCCTCTTTTCCCTTCTTGTGGTGTGAGTCCCACTGCGACACTGAGCAGGAAGAGCAGAAGAGTTGGAGGATTCAGAATGATGACTTTCAAAGTCTTTCCACGAACAACAAAGAAACCATAAAAACCATCCGAACAAATGGAGCTCAAACCTCATCAAGCAGCAGCCTGACAGGGTGGAACACAACCCATACCACCCCGCCCCCTACAACCACCACTCCTCTGAGCCTCTCCAGCAAATTAGAATAAGAACTGAGGAGATGGACAGGCTCATCCTATTGCTTGTTCTCATTGGTTCTGGCTAAGAAGAACCAAAAGACAGGGAAGGTTTTCTTGTGGAAAAATCCACGTGCGGATGCACATTCCTCCTGGCTCTGGAAAAGCCAGGGCAGTTTTTAAATTACCATCTGTAGCAACTGGCATGAAAAGCAAAACAGAAAGTGAGGGGGAATGGGGATGGGGAGGAAGGGCAGAGAAAGGGACAAAAGAGAGACAAAGCTCCACGCATTTAAGTCCTCTGTTTTTGTTTTTGTTTGGCTTTCCCTCCCCCCCACCCCCACAATTCTCCTGCAGATAGATTCTTCCTCTTGCTTAAAAACAAAACAAAACAAACATGAACAAAAATCCCAACTTGTTTAGGGGCCTGGAATGCTCTGGTCTCATAAGCATTTTCTGGGATGTCTTGCAGGGGTCTGCAGAGTGTGTGCAATGCTGGTATAAGCAAAACAAAAGGCAAGATTCCTCAAGATTTCTCTTTGGGGCAGGGGCAGGGAGCAAATGCTGGCTAGGCCTCTGGTGATTTATAGTTGGGCCTTGAGCACCACTGTTTGACTGCCCGGGTCCACTTATACGTGGATCGTGTAGGGTGCAGTACTGTAAAGGTCTTCTCTCTTTCTTATGATTTCCTTACTAATCTTTTCTTTTCTCTAGCTTACCGTGCTGTAAGAATACAGCGTATAAAACATCTACCATACAAAATATGTGTTAGACGACCATTTATGTTATTGGCATGGCTTCTAGTCAACGGTGGACTGCTAGTAGTTCAGTTCTGAACAGCCAAAACTTGACACCAATATTCAACAGTGCAGAGCGTCGGCACCCCTAACCTCCATGTCGTTCAAGGGTCGACTGTAATTGGGAGTGACTTCTGCATTGGGTCACGTGCTTGGCCACAGACTGGATGGGAAGAAATATAAGAAAGTTCCCTGTCCTTGCGTTTAAATACGAGAAGAGGGGCAAGACTATGGGGAAAATATGGGCCACGTGCCAAAGGAGTGGTGGTGGGATATTAAGGTCCACTGGAGGTTAAGGAGGGAGAGGTGAGTATAATTGGGGCCATCTGCCTTGAGTGGGATCCCTTTGGGGAGGATAGAGTGAGTAATGAAGGCAAGCACAAAGCAGAAGTGTCTGGGGTATGAGAAAGTGATGTCTGGGGAACAGCCATGGGTGTCATGAGCACATGACTGAGGTAGAGGGAAGGGAGGGGAGAGAGGGCTGGAAGCGAGAGCCAACATCATGTTCAAGGCCATGGTGATGGCAGCTAGGCAGCTAGACAAGGGCAGTGACCTTGGGTGGACACCAGGAGAGATCGTGGTCATGCGGCATTACCACAAACAAGGGGGTGGTGGAGAACGGAGCTTGTGAGGATGTGTAGGATCGGTCGCAGTACCTGGGGAAGGAGGCGATTCTCAAAGGAACAGAACAGAAAGTGGGATAGAAAGTGACAAGTTCGTGCCAAAAGAAAAAAAAACAAATCAGTAGTTCCAGGAACTGGTGTGTGTCATCTGCAATTCTGACTCGACTTATGATTTACTGCACTGATAAAATCTCTGGCTCAAAGTTTACTTAGTGTTTTTTTAGTCAATCGTTATTCTACCAAAGGCTTCCATCCTATCTCAAAGCTATATTCTATCCATTCCGAGGACCAAATCATGACCATGGCTATATCAACTTATCAACTTTTCTTCCTGTTCTTTTTTACCAGCTCCAGGAACAAACCAAACACATAAAGGTTACAGAATGCATGGATGAATGCCCTCTAACCAACAGAGGGCAGGTGATGGCTGGATTCCTCTCTAACTGCAAGGGCCCCATCCTGGTTTGAAGTTGATGCCTTATCGGAGAAGTGTTCGGTAGCCCCATCTTTCCTGCCATGTCTCAAGGCCTGTGGAGGGCTGCTGTGGAACGCAATTCCCCCACTGTCCTACCTCGGGGGAAAGCCTGGCTGAGAAGGCTTTCAAAATCCTAACCAACCTCAAAGTCCTTTAGGAGGTAAAAAAGGAAGTGACAGAAACAGAGATGCCACCAGCAATCAGCCTGAACTATGTCCTCACTGTGCACATGACAGAGGAATAAAGAGCAAAGGCCATGCCATAAACTGGTGTCTTTAGCCAATGGTCCCCGAGCAGTGTGTGAACTGAGAGCAACACAGACCACAAGGCCCCTTCCTTTTGCTTTTTATTCCCAACTACCTACGTGGAAAATCCCGCCACGGGTATCTATCTGGGTCCAATAAGGATGCCCTGGGTCCGTTAACTGAAGAGTTTAACAAATGCACTCCAGGGGCGCCTGGGTGGCTCAGATGGTTGAGCATCTGCCTTCGGCTCAGGTCATGATCCCAGGGTCTTGGGATCGAGCCCTGCATCGGGCTCCTGGCTTGGCGGGAAGCCTGCTTCTCCCTCTCCCTCTCCCCCTGCTCATGCTCTCTCTCTGTGTGTATCTCTGTGTCTCAAATGAATAAATAAAAATCTTTAAAAAACAAAAAGAAAAAAAAAAACAAATCCACTCCGCGGGCACTGGGGCTCACAGGGACATTTGCTACATGTAACATTTCAATGAAGACCAGAGTTTTGGGAGTAAATCCTATTGTAAAGACAAAGGTCCGCTGGAGAAGACCAACACCAAGAACCAAGGTCTGGCACTTGGCCTCAGAGAGCTGAAGAACCAGGGTAGCCTTTCAGATTAAATGAGATAGCCAAGTAAACGCCTGGTCTAGTGAGAGCACGGAGTCAGCCTCAGCACATGTTGGCAAGTAATATTATTATTGGCATCCTTATTATGCACCTAAAAAATGATTAGCCCCAGAGACATGGGTTTGCTAGCCCTACCAAATACACATTCACTTCTCCTCCCCGACCCCCCGACCCCCTTATTCTGCTCTACTTATTTATTTGTCTACTTATCACCTAATTTAATCACCGACTCATGTTTGTTGCTTATAGTCTGCATCTCCTACCCGAATGCCAGGTCCACAAGGGTAGCAGCAATCTTCTGTTGCCTGATATAATCGAGTACCTAGAACAGTGTCCTGCACAGGACCGGTGCACGATAATAATTATTTGTAGAATGAATGAATAGGCAGGGCCAATATTTTGTTCTTGCTAAGTATATGCACTTCCTCTTATTGTTCACTGCTTCACTAGTTGAAGAGAATTCAAGGCCCCGACCCTGACTTCTCCCCACTGAAGTCTCTTAGGTGATTTAAGTCTGGGTGATTAGGTGAAGAGGCCATATTAGCCCTGGGTACCCTCGAGACACAATGGACAACAATGCACATATTACAAGGCATAGGCTAAAACCTTGTCCCCACAGTGGACACCACACATTTAAGTGCCCGCATTTTATTATATATATTTTTAACAATGTCATTGAAATGAGGGTTTGTTTTTTCCCCACCTAAAGTCATGCAAGGGAAAACTTAGCAGTGTGGCAGTT